TGGAATTAAATTATATAAATAATAAATGTTATTCCAACTGGGAAATTGTTGGATGTGGTGTGCCTCAGGGATCGGTGTTAGGACCCTTACTCTTTAATATATACATAAATGATTTCCCCCTTAAAATTAGTAAAATTTCTGAAGTTATTATGTTTGCAGATAACACTAGTAATCTTTGTACGGCTAAAGACTACTATAATTTAAAAATAAAACTGGATGTTGTTTTCAATCATATGTGTATGTGGTTTCAAAATAATCAGTTTGTGTTAAATCTGGATAAAACAAAACTGATACTTGTAAGGGACATATAGATGTTTTGCTTCATAAGTTGAGCACAGTTGCTTTTCTAATGCAAAATTTAACTTATATATTAGTTAGTTAGTTAGTTATTAGAGAGGGTGGGTTTCCCCATGCACTTAGACCTGTAGTGGTCCATTGTGCTTCCCTCTATGATTTCTACCAGTCTCTATATCCTACCGGTATTGGTGCTTACCATCAGTCCCGCCCAGCCAGCGAGACCGGCTCTACTAGCTGAGAAGTATCTATAATGCTTCCCCCATCTACCGGAGGTATTACTGACTGCTGTTGGGCGGGAAACGTTCGTTAATTTGGCTCAGTGACCTCCTTTGGAGATATGAGGTTCTTTTACGTGCCGTAAAGCTACGACACGGGACCCATGGCTTAAAGTCCCTCCCGGAGGACTTGTTCCCTGAAATTTTCTGCCCTTAAAAATTTGACGACCTCCGCCAGGTATTTGAACCCGCGTACTACGAGTCATGAGGTGGGAACATTACCTCTAGACTACGGAGGCCACTTAACTTATATATTAAATATTAATAATCTTAAAGCTGTATATTATGCGTATTATCTTCAGTGGTGAAATATGGAATAATATACTGGGGAAATACATCAGACAGTCATAAGGTCTTTGTTACACAAAAGGAAATAATAAGAATAATGATGGGAGTGGGCCCAACTCACACATGTAGAGGCTTACTTAAAGAGCTTGGCTTACTGCCAATCCCATGTGTATATTTGCTTTCACTGATGACATCTGTTAATAATTTGGATAAGTTTCAGACCAATAACTCTGTATATATGATTAGTACAAGAAGGAATGACCACGTTCATATATCTACAACACATTTATCATCCTATCAGAGAGGGGTGTATTATTCAGGCGTCAAGCTATTTAACACTCTGCCATCAAATATCTCGGCTTTAAAAAACGATAAAAACCAATTTAGGTTTGTTTTATGAAATTATTTGCAAAGTAACTCATTTATCTCTATTGACAAATTTGTCAAGCATGCAAGGGGCTCAAATGTTAAAGAGTTAATAAATGGTCTGTGTGCTTGTATTATACGTTGTTGAGACTTGCTGTACGTGTGCCAGTATGTATGGCATCTGTGTTTGTTATGAATTTTAATGTGTTACAATAGACCTTCAGCAGACAGGCCATTCTGTGAACACGAGGTTGAAAGGGCATCAGTGGCACATTCATCTCAAACATCCAGACAAGTCAGCTGTGGCTGAACACAGCATCGATTTGGGACACTGCATTCAGCTACAGAATACCTCCATCCAAGCTGGTTCGCTTGTGGATTTCTTGTCTTCTACCCTGAAGATGGAGGCAATATGTTCCTCTGAAACGTTGGTTAACACAATTTCTACACGGCGCCACATCATACAAGACGACTTTCTTCTTCTCCAGGCTGGACCATAAGTTTGTATACCTCTATTAAAGGACAATATAGGTTTTACATGAATGTACTTATGTTATTTTATTTATATATTTCAAAAGCCATTAGGAGTATCATTTATATTCACAATTGGATACGCAAAATATTACTTCATAATATTATATTGCAGCATCCTGTTTCACTTTTCACTTAGTGTCAAGTAATTAAACGACACATAAAAAACTTTGCATACATGAATTCTACTAAAAATTCACACATGTTACAGAAACATATGCGCATGAGAGGACCTACATATATTTAACAACATAACCAACAACAGAAGACAGCAATTTCCCCACCAAAAATTTTAACACCCGATGCTGACCACATAGGTCGAAACATGTAGTGACAGACTTTAAGAGTTAATACATTTTAGTGGACACAAGTGTTGCAACATGAGACTGTTAACTAACTGACATTTGTTCCATACTACCTATGGCAAGCAAAGGATATGTGATGAAGCTGGGAGGAGAAATGCTACTGAAACTGACAAAAATGTAGCACATTACTGAGATATGATACTTTGTAGTCTGGTAGCAGTTTACCAGCATTTCAGAAGAATGTACCTCAGATGTCAATAAATATACACTACCTCTGTGAGTTTTCACAAATCTTGTATTCCACAGCTCTGCTGTGGAAAAATACTTGGTACACACTGCAGAAACCAGTGAACACATATAACACTGATCCTTAGCTCTGCATTCTCGGTCCATCCTCTCTACAGACTCCCATGCATTTCCAAATCATGTTTCCTTTTGAACTGTAGAAAATAGCACATGCGCAAGGCAACCTAGCAGCAGCCACTCCACTCTCCCATTCCATTTGAGCACAGGCGCTCCTTTCCTTGTTAAGAAGACAAGCTGAAAATCTTCTACAACATATGTCCTGTGATGTTTAATTTTCAAGATACATGTCAGTCACTGGTGCACACTATCAAATAATCAAACCATGGGCACCTCATAGTAACAAGCGTTCAAAATGGCCACTATACATTTCAAGGGAGATGGCAGTGCACTGCACAGCACACGTAGCAGTGCTCTCCAGAATCAAACCTCGGATACACACTCCGATGCAACGCATCATTACAAGAATGCTTGAGTCTGATAAGTTCCTGGCATCTGTTCTCTTAACAGGTATAGTAAGCAAAGAGAGGTACTGTTCATATGTAGCCCTGATCTGGATGTTTCTTCTGATTATCCCTTCAGTATGAGCCCCTAGCAGTCATGATACATGAATGAGAATCAGAACCTCCCTTCAAATTGGAAGGCCCATTGCCAGAAACAGTTGCCATTGCAGCAAATGATCAATGAGGATTTCAGATTTTGATGCAAACTTTGGCAGGTTGCTTTTCAAATATTTCACTTTCATTTCAGATTTACTGCAGCTGCTGGTAAAGTATATCTGTTCTAAATATAATGAAACATACATGCATACCCAAATTATGGACGCAAAACTATTAATTTACTTTGTGTATTTATCATGCCATTTATGCTGCACATGTCACATACACTCCCCTCTATGCTGCTACCGAACTTTATAAAAAAAAAGTGAAGGTCTTGAACTCCTGTAACTTTACCAGTTTTGCCCACAATTCATCTTTGGCTAATGGGGCTCTGAAGCAGGTGTAACTGCCCAGCAAGCCAACAGCAGATCGCAATATGCTTTCAGAACACGGAACAGCCTAAGTTAAGATTTCCATTTGCTCACTTCACAAAATCATAATTAGCCATTCTCTAGCAACAAACTTCAAATCACAGAAGGGCTAAAACTGTTATCTTTCTGAGCATGCTGGACAGACTACATGAGCAGATACTGCAACAAAAGGGTGTGGTTGTTTACTAATCATAACCTAAAACAGAATACATTACTTTAAAAACAAAATTAAAACTTCTGTCCACTATGAATTTCTTTCACTAACACCTTGCAGAAGACAAGTAACTGCATTACATTAAGGGCACAAATATAAAATGTGATTTCACATGGGTAAAATCACTACTTACAATGAACTCTCTATGCGTAATTACTGCGTAGGCTACTGACAGTGTGTGTCACAGTTATCAGCTGCAGGTTAATGAAACAAGGAAACATTCTGATGAAGTAGACAAGTAACACCATCAAAATTTCCTATCCATTTTATTTATTAACAATATATCTGTATTTATATATTAACATTTTAGGAAACATTTACATAGCTGTCATTCACAATGTATATGAAAACAACAATTAAGATTGGTGTGACAATACACCAAGCAGAAAACTGTTTCAGCTACTTTGTAGGTGGTCTCTATTGGAACCTTCATTGTCTATTCTTTAAAAGCAAGCAGCTCTAATGATGTAAGAACAAATGCTATTGACACACAGGTACATTTCTAACTAGCTCTGGTTTCTGTTCTTGCCAAATTTATCACCAGGATTTTCAAATTTTCAGAACCAACAGATGTTGCTAATAATAATAATAATAATAATAATAATAATAAAAAAACTTATTTCTAAAATTGTCTATAAACATTAATGCAAAGTCAAAAATTTAACTTTGTATCAAAGCACTGGCTAACGCTGAGGAAAGGTAGGCATTTAGTACACTGCCTATAAAATATATGTGCACAGAAACTGTTATCTACTTCAATCACTGTAGAATTATAACTGAGTGAACGAGAAACAGAATGTGACCAGTACATACAAGCAGAACTTATGCCAATTTGTGCCATCATTTTGTTACTTATGATAATATTGGTTAAAACATATATTTATGGAAAATGAATGAGCACAAAAATATCTATTCAAGTTTCTAACAATGTCCACGACTTGATTTGAACTGCTCAGGTGAATCACAACAAAATTAAAGGAATATTTTTAAACAATTTTGAATAAATGTGTCAATAATCTAAAATATAAAACTTAATACAGTTCTCTGCTTTTCTGTACACCTTTATTACCTCTCTGTCATATATTATTTGCTGACAAGATAATACAGTTTATAGTCTTCTTCTATTATAAATGTCCCTGATCAGCTCTACACAAGAAATAAATAAAACATCAATAAATGCCATTCACTTCTGAAAGCAAAACTGGCATTGCATAAAAATAGAAATTTATAAAATATTACTTCATGGCCATTTTAAAATCTCACTGCTTGTCAACACTGATATTATGCACACTGTCAACTTTTGTTCTGAATCTTTCGTTTGTCCAAGTTAGATAACGAACATTAAGTTTTCACTGTACACTTTACAACTCACAAACTTCATGCATTCTTCATTTAAAACTTTATACAGATTGTTTCAATTCAGCAGTTCCTATTGCTTTCACAAGGGTTAAACCATCTCACAATGGTTGAAATGCAATGCTTAAACATCAAACCATTATTAAAATGTCTGAGAAACTAACTTTGTACATTTGCCATGAAAATATTTTACTTTTATATAAAACTACAGTTTGTGCAGTTACTACCCCTCCTGACCTTCAAATGTAATGGTAATATGAAATCACTTGCTCACTGCATGGACTCAGAGGAACGTGAAATATTAGCATCACAAACACATCACTTCCTGTTTTGTTGCTTTCTCTATAGGAGTTAAAAACAAATTACATTTGATACTGCACTCTTAATTATAAAACACAGTTCTGAGAGTGATTCACAATTCCATTAAACATAAATCTTTTATCATTTACAACTAAAAACCAATTTGATGTTCATGTCCAGTAAAATTAATAATTTAAAGGAATGTGAAAATGGACAATACCAAACAATGCATAGACATCCTATCCATTATAATTTTACCTGAAATTAATGTGACACATCCCATCTACTTAATTGAAATATACAAAATCTGCATCATCCAGCACATATTATTTTGTTACACTGCAGAGTCAACACATATGTTCAGTAACCTGGGATGGATAAAGCTGTTAACATTAGATTCCACACACAAAATACCTTTCACAATGTGCTAATCTAAGGTAAGACAGGAACTCAGTGACTGCCAGCCTGGGTTACCGTTTCCAGTTAGAGAGATAAGTGCAATTTTTCTGATTAATAAGACAAAAATGCAATCTTAGGGTAGCATATTGAAAATAAAGTATTCTATTAATACATGCTGCAATATACAAATAGTCCAAGTGTCATTCAACATCTGTATATTCTCCACGAACTCTACGAGCCAATTTTAATCTATGAACCTAAATGGACAATGCTAATGTAAACAAACGTGACACTTTTAAAACCGATACACAAACAGTGAGATGAACCTTACCTCTTACAGATACAATGACAAAAAATTAAACACACATCATAGGAAGCCCTAGAATTTTTAAACGAGGGGCAGCCAGAAAATTTGCTTACAAACTTACATTTAAATTATTTAAGTACATTCTTATGGATTTCCCTACAGTTGTGAGTCACTTCAGAATACAATACATTTTTTTATAATTTCTGGGTTTAATATTCTCCATAATTCCTTCTTTTTACTCCAAAATCACTGTTTTCTGATATATATTTCTCCATATAAAGCTTGCATATATAATGTGTATTTTATTTTTTTATTCATGGTTTATGTAATCATTCTGCTAGTAGCTGAGCTTAGCAGTGACATAACATGTAACACAACGTTTCTTTCATGTTCTGTGCATAATTCTGTGAACCCTACTTCAAAGGCTTCAGCAGTATGCCCACATGCAACTTTATGTTCTGTTCCTAAGAGTGACCTAAGTGGCATCTGCATGCCTGGCAGAATCAACTCTTCTAGAGGGATTATGTAGTCAAAGGGATGGTTATTGCGTATTTCTGATGACAGGACAAGATGATGTCCAGAGGGGGCCATACAGATTAATGGCTCCTGAGCCAGTCTATGGTTCTGATGTCACAATAAGTGAGAAATGTAGAAGAAACAAAGAAACATCAGTTGCTTCAGAGATCTCTGGCACTGAGTAAATTGGCTGAATCAAGAGTAGATGTTTCTTTTTTGCTTCTACACTTCTCAGCTCTCATGAAGTCAGAACCTTAGAGTGGTTCAGGAGCCACAAAGTAATGAAATGTTCATAATGTATGTATGTGACTGTTCTTCATACCTTCTTATAACCAATTATTATATTTGGTTGAACAAACTTGCATAACCATATTTACTTGCATACTTTATGCACCCCTACTACTAAACAAATTAAAAAATAAAGATAAATTTTAACCACAATTCTTGGTTAAGTAAACACAAATATAAAAAGTAAAGTAAGTAAAGCTATCCCTGTACCCGGCCGTGAAGGCCCATAGGGTTGTGAGACGTTGAGGGTCCCAAACTATCTAGACAATCGGCTCAAAGATGGCGGTAAGGTTGTCAGCCTTATGCACTGGCTGTGCTTTACTCCCCAGGAAATTTATTTAATTCATTCCTGGTACTCATTTCTGTTACAGGCCGAGTAAACCCCAGGGCCTAGTGCGGCTGGAAGGATTAGGTCAACTGAAAAAATCCAATGACCTCATCAGGACTTGAACCCGCGACCTTCCGACTTGTAGCATAGCCCCTCAACCAACTATGCTACCGCGTGCCCCCAAACACAAATATAAGTAATTATTAATGTACTTCATGACTTCACTCATTGACTGTTCCCCCTCACCCATTTTATATAATATCAATTCAAATAGATACGTGTCATGGCTTTCTACGTTCAATTGGGCACAGCCAATCAGGATGAAAAGGAAAGAGGAAGAGCTCACTATGAGTGGCATTCATATGCTGTCTGATGATGGTGCATTTGCTGTAGATGCAATGAACCTGTAACTGTCAGTAATTTTGGCCATATTGTTTTTTCCCTTGGATCTGGTATGACTTGATTAACATGATTCAGCTAAATTAATTTCTGTTCCTATATCTTATCTGCAGGTTTCAGCTCAAATATGTTCTCATATTTGATATTTTTGGAGAATATTACACTGCTGTGCTTTTAATCAGCTTAACTAGTTTCATGGGTACCCCAAACTCTATCAGAATATTGTACAATACTTCCCTCCTAACTGAATCATAGGCTTTCTTGAAGTCTATGAATAGCTGATGTATTGTCTCAATAAGCAGCAACTTGAAAGGGTGTTAAACACAGGAAAATACAATATCACAGTTACAACACCAGGTTTAAAATAATGGTTATTACTTAAAGGGGGGAGGGAGAAGAGGAAAAAAACTGTTCTTTCCCCCCAGACAATTTGCTGTTTTTCAATATTATGCAGCTGTAATTGTTCTAACCTTTATCTATGGCATAAAATTATAATCAGGGAAGTAGCATTTGCATACTATATGCACCACAAGTTTCAGGCACAAATTCCTGTGCAAAACTTGTGTAAATTATGCAAGTAAATATGGTATACACAACTAACAGCTAACATTTTCGACCATCAATACTGACAAGAGAGAAACACTTTTTTTAACATTACAAAATCACAGTCACATTGCTATCCAAAAGTCATGAGGGCCCTGCATTACACAGGCTTGTGAAACTGAATATTTTCTCCTTTACTTGCAAGAGAGTCACTTACATGACAGCCAGACAAAGGGCAAATATCCTGTTCAACCACTGAATACTGCTAACAGTTCACACTGTAACACAGCTCAACTACAAACATGCATACCACTCAACACTCTTGAGTTGCCATGTTTTTATACAATTACCAATCGTTAATTAAAACTAAAATATATACCATTAAATACTTCATACAGGAACAAAACATTTTTGCATGGTAACATAATTTCTGGTCATCAAAACAATCTTCTTTTGTAAAATTTTACATGTTTAAATAATAAAAGAAATGCATATAAGGTAGGGTTAAAAGTATTCTATCTATGCATTAAAACTTAAGAAGTGGAAAAAAAATGTTCATGTGAATTCTGAATCACTCTCCTTTTAAGATTATTGGAAAATACACTGTACAATGTAAAAAATTAAAACTAGAAAAAACTGCTATTCCTGTTCTTAATTTTTTATTATTTTTGGTATCTCACCTTCACGCTCCCTTCGCCTCAGTTTTTTTCTCCGCCTGTCAATACATGCAAGTTCTGCTTTCACATTCATGTAAGTTTTCCTCAGTTCCTGAAGCTTCTCCTGCAACAAAGCGATACGTTGTGTGCCATCCAATTCAGGATCTGAAAAAAAAAAGATTACAATATTACATTTCAGCATCCTGTTGCAGTGCTGCATCCCCCCCCCCCCCACTTGTTTCTGTCTCTAATGCAACATAAACTTTTATTTTAAAGTGTCATTACAATCGCATTAAAATTTCCTAAGATGTCATTAAAACCATATTTTATTTTGCTATTGTGACATGTTTTCACCCTACAAGACCATCCTCAGGGGACTGTAGCGGCTTCTATCAATTAACAGTTGCCTGAGGATGGTGTCATGGGGCCGAAACATGTCACAANTGTCTTCTTCGAAGTCTATTCCGAGACTCACTGTTTTTCGCTGAAGCTGGGCTATCTATAACCTTGTCCGCTGTTAGGCAACGAACCCTCCGTTATAACCATGGAGACTCCTGTTAGAATTACCATGGAGCAATTGTTGTCTCCTCTGTAACGGTCTATTGTAGCGTTTCCATAGAAGTTACTCCTCCGGTTTGCCGACACGTTACACTATTTTATGACAAAAGCAATCTCCTCACTCATTTATTATGGCACTCTTTCCAGTATCTGAATAAAAAACAACATAAGACATTTCAAAGAATCCCCACTATATGGTTCACATACCTGAAAAAAAAAGGCATGTAGACCACTTGGATGGCAGTGGCAAAAGATTAACCATGGCCGGTACATCACATGAAGGTATCAGGAGTTAAGAAAGAGGAATACACAGACGTTTATTAGTATGGAAATAATGCTATTTTCTGATCTGGGTGCTGATGTGACGTGGCATTCAGGTACCAGTCAATATGTGTCTGCTTCCTATAGACTCTGTAGATGAAGCCCTTGAATTGCACGGAACCTCACAGATAAGAATTCAATCGATTCACTCTTACACAAATTAAGTCATAATTTCACTGAAAATGCATGTAAACGCAAATTTGTTTTTGGCAAAGGTTGAGATTTCAGTGCTGACTGAAGTATAGGTACCTCTTACAGCCACCTGGCATTACTAGTCGTAACTTCTTAGATAAATGACTTCTACATAAAGTCAGATTTAGGACTGTAGGTATATGAATATAAAGTGCCTACTGCATGTATCCTTACCTAATTCAACATAAAAGTTGTACTTTGAAGGTCGTGGTGACCGTGAGGACAGAACAGTTTCTGTACTAGTTAAAGGAGTACAGCCACCTGCAGTGGAGTTTTCAGAGGTGTCATCACTATCACTACCCCCACCACCACCACCACCTCCTCCTCCTCCACCAGTGCCACCCCCTCCTCCTCCTGAAAAAGGAACAAGGTTATTGGAAATGAACAAGAAGCTGACCTCTGTGATCAAGAATATAAGGTTCTTGCCCTGACCTTCAACCATTCCCTTTGAGGATTTCAGGTTTCAATTCCATCCAAGGCATGGACATATGTCCAAATTTGTCTGTATTGTGTTGTCCTTTGTAAGCAGAGGCCACTTAATGATAATCTTACTAAATATGTAAAGGAAGCACTCTTTCTAATTCTAAACTGGGACAGGTAACCCAATCCTTCCTCTAAGGGCCTTCAAACAATCACATGTGTAGATCATAAACTGCCTCATCTTTCCTCTGAACATCAACATATTACACTGAAAGAAAATCTCTACTTGAATAACAATGAGCTACTCTCTTCAGCTGTTGCAGTTTTAATGCACATAGTCCACACACATCCCATCAGCTCATGGCATGCAAAGATTTAAAACCAAACTTCATCCCTAAGCCTGATCTGGTAGAATCAGTGCATGGGAAGCTATAAGTAACGCCTAACTTCTGCCTACTTTGGCCTGTTCCTGCATATATAAATTAGAATGGGGAATAGTGGAATTAGAACTTGCAAAGAAAAACCAAATTACTGGAAAATAAACCTTCCCCAACATTTTGTCATCTATCACAAATTCCAAACAGGGCGTCAGAATCGAGATCATCATCTCTTTTGTTAATAAGAATTCTGAATAAAAATATTTGTTGTCCTTTCCATAATAAATTAAGATGTCCAACTGTACAATGCAAACAGAGAACTGGTATTTTATCACTAGGAATGGCCACAACTACTACATAACATGGGGTTCCCTCCTCTTGCCCCAGAAGAAATTCAAATCCATCCACCAACCGTGTCCAGGCTTATGTTCATTCTGAGATAGACCCTTCTTCATGCTTCTTCTTTCCTGTCGCTGCAGAAACCCACCCTCAACTCATGGCAGTCTACCTTCTATACTATATGCCGCTCAACCCACAGCACACTTAAAGTTATGCCTGGTGAGTACTTTGAAATGCGCAACTGCTCGAGAACATCAATTGCAGACAGGAATTTTGATGTGCCCCTGGGCCCTTACAAAGCCTAGATGAAGGACCAACCCACAATATCTTGCCTTTCCCCCACCGCTTTCAAAAACACAATGTTGTATGTAGCTTCTATAGGGCTCCGATGAAACTGGATCTGCTTCCATCCTCAAGTAGGGGCGAGACACCTACTCTGTTAACCGCAATCACTGGACTAGTGATTGAGGTTAGCTCTTTCTAAGGGAACCAACAAAGTTGGTGTCTCCCCCCCTGTACCTGAGGATGGAAGCAGATCCAGTTTCCAAAAAGTTGTGTTTTAGAGTATTCAGAATTCTAGACGATGGACAAAGTCCAAAAACCCAGTAATTCTGACAATGCTATATATACACCAAAAATTACTTTGACCCTGAAGATGGAGGCTGTGTGTACTTCCAAAACCCTGGCAACATCCCCCACAACTGCACTGTGGAACAAACCAAGAATAAGATCAGCACCAATAGTAATAATAATAGAAACAGCAGGAAAGTGAGTATGATATCTATTGCAGAAATACAATGTTTCCCAAATAGTAATTTTTCCCAGAAGACAACTTTCTTCATTGTCATCGCCGTGAAAACCTCAAAACTTACAACTGCAGGTTGCTTCAAAACTTGTGATCATTCTACTGACTGTTAATGACTGGTTCCACTGTTTTCATTATTCATCCTTTACTAAGTGAAGTGCATCAATGAAGACCTGTTTCTGCTCAGTTGAGTTTTATATTCTTGTTTCATCATCTGGTGAGCTAGGTATCATTATAAGTTTAATAAGTACATGAACCTGATCATGTTACATTATGGCGTAAAGTAATTTAAATAAAATATGGCAGGGGTTCCAATTACATGGAAAGCAATGACTTTGCAGGAGAAATTCAGAATTATATAGAAATTGAAGAAATCTGAGTAACATGCACTTTTTAGGCAGTCCATTGTGGCTTGTGTTCTGTCTTCTTTCGCATTAAAGCAAAAATTATCTCTGCCAATGCATTTTCAGGTTGCCCTAATAACATACATCTGTTTTTTCTATATCCAAAATCTTGCGAAACAACTTCTTGGAACCAAAATACAAAAGTGGATCCACAAAATGAACTTTATGTTACACTTCTCTTATAAAATTTCCTTCTTTAAGTCATTTTTGTAGGTCCCCGGAAAGCACCGTATACGTACAGGACAAGCCCTTACTGTTCTATAAGCAGAAGTTACATATGAGAGGGGCCATTTATATGGAAGAGACAACTCAGTAAAATAATATCATCTTTGTCATGTCCTTACCACAAATAAATTTTACAATCAACTAGAGTACACGTCCAGAAGGAAAAAATGTAATGTCTCATAGTTTTATCAGATGGAATCATTACAGAATTTCTTTTACCAATATTCCGTGCCGATCTCCCAGAAGAATGTCTTGATCTCTTATTACTTTCACACTCTGATCTCTTCCTGCTACGCCTCCGTTTCTTAGGTGAGGACTCCATGTCCTTGTCAATATCAGAACAAGTTTTCTTTGACAACAATTTTGGACCTCGTAACCTATTTTCACTGGAGTTTGAAACGTCTATATTAAGCAGAGAGTCTGAAAAAGAATACAGATGTTCAACATATGGGCACAGATACACAATGTAATATTTCATACACATTGTTAAGAAAGGACACAATATATGTGGTAGTAAAGGGACATGGGAATAATCAGGCCCCGGATTTTGATGACATGTCATCTTTTCTTCCTTGTATACTATGCGATGCTCTTAAATATATAAATCTCGGATATGAGATGCTGGTTACAGAAATGTAAATTTTATAGGTAATTTTTTTGTCATTTTTAGGTTTAAGGTCAATTTTTCATTTTGGGGACAATTTTTGGTAAATTTTTGTACTTTTAAGGATATTTCTTGTCATTTTTGGCCATTTTAGGGAATTTTTCTTCATGTTTTCTGAAATGTGAATAACATGGAAGCGAAGTGTCCTTTTTTCCTTTCGGTCATTTTTTAAATATTTTCAGGTCATCAAAATCCGGGCCCTGGTAATAATTAATGTAAAATAAGGTCAGAATATTGTGCTACATGCACCACCACTCACAAACGATAGGGAAGAAATAAGGATTTAAATAGATCTACCTCAAGTCCCTTAAAAGCATGGAATATTACAAACTTACAGCATTCTGATATACGACACTGTCACTTTGGTATGCAAGTACCACAATTTTAGAGGAACCTGCTCCTTAAGTATTCAGAGTAGAAGTTGGCTACATTGAAGATGGAGGCAGCATTTTCAAGCAAAATGTTAGTATCTATTTACGAACCTCAACTGCCTCACATTCTAGAACACAGCAATCCCAATATCCAATGGCATGAAACTAAAACCTCCTACACAGAAATATCTTACCCTACAAGCAAGGAAACCCCTACAACAGACAGCTAATCTTCAATTGACAAAAATGTTATCCAGTTGAAACAAATCAAGGAATGTCAATTTTAAATGAAGATTTCACTGAATACCTTCTGAAAGTGACATGGTTCACGAGGCTGAAGTTTAAAAGACTGACAATAAGAGTTCCAGAAAAGAAATATTTCTTTGAAAAAAATCAGCAGAACTGTATCATGTAGGATGGTACTCAGAAATTGTGACTGAATTTACATAATCTTTCTTAAAGGAGCGAAAAGAGTTATGATAGAGGCCATACCTTCTTCACTATAATGGTCCACTTTGTTGCCTTCAGCACAGCTGTCGAGGTCTATTTCAAATGAATCCCTATGTGACTTTGAGCTTTCATTATCCAGGATAGGTGACATTCCATCTCGTTCTCTGTCGCAAGAAAGAAAAGAGGGTGACATGCAATTTTCACTCTGAATGAACTATTGATATGTGTTCTTCTGCAGTTCTGAGATTCTTAAAACTGAAAGTTTTCTTACTGGCTAATAAAATGAAGTGAGATAGTTATATTTTAAATATCGGCAATATAATGCATGAAATACAATAAAAATAAATGGCACTTACTCTCTTGGTGAGCCTGATATTGTAGACAGACTACTGTCAGGTGTAGTGGGTGGAGTATTATCCATTACAGGAGCTGCTTCATTTGAATTTCTTTTTGATACACCTGGACCAGGCCCTTGCAAGCCTGATCCAGGCTCTGGGCCCACAACTGAAACTGGGGGAGGCTGCACTTGCACCTGAGGCGGTGGGGAAGAAACAGTAGGAGATGCAGATGCAGACCTGGTCTGTATTTGAATAGGAGCTGAGAGACCTAACGTTATTGGGACTATTGCTCCTGGAGAATCCATGACTGGAGATGCAAAGATGGGTGCTGCTGCCAACTTCCCATTACTTGAACTAGATGTGCAATTGCTACCAGGTGCACTTGCAAATGGCATTTCTAGTACTGCTGTTTTACTCTCTTCTGGCTCTTTGTGGCATGGTTCAATGGTTTGAGCAGAATCGCTAGGTGGAGCTGGACTACCAGGAATGGTCTCCTCACATAATAATGATCGTAAATTGCTCTCAGCTTGCTCTTCAGACTTGTCATCTGATTCCTCCGCTGGTGTCTGAAGTACAGAAACTGCCACTTCAACATTTTCTTCTTCCAGCACTTCAGGAAAACTTCCTTTCTTTGGCAAAGAATTAGACTCCACAACAACAGCACTTGCAAGTTCTGTGGGCTCTGCATCCTACAATAAGAAGTGTCAAATTTCATTCTGATAAAGAACAGATGTCAAAATGAAAATTTTAAGAAGTTAACATTAACTCTTCCCATACTTCTTTTGGACTTTAACCATCGTCTGGTATGTCAAAGACAAAAGACCACGACGTTTCGGAGACTGCCTCTGTCTCTGTAATGTCATGGTCTTTTGTCTTTTACATACCAGATGATGGACAAAGTCCAAAACAAGCCAAAAGAAGTACAGTATACACCATCGTCAGAATCCTTTCAACTCTTCCCATGCTAAACTTCATTAAAAAATGTTTGTATATCTCCATGGCAAGGAATGTAATTTTTTAATGCTCTGTTTCAAATACAGTAACACTTGGTTATAGCAACATCGGTTTCTGCGACACCTTGTCTATTGCGTCAAATATTCAATGGTACGAACTAATTCCTCATAAAGCAACTGTTTTTATACCTTGCTTAGTACGACATGCACAAATGCATCAACCTCGTATGTAACGTCATTTTCATTCCCTAATTTCTCTGATATGGACACTGGTAATTTAGAAAGTGTGTATTGGGCAAGTAACAGGAAACAGATGAAGATAACTGATTACTGTACTCGTATCTAGGTACAGTAAGGCACAACAATTGATGTAATCTACTGTAATTTGGTGAGTAGGCCTATCTTTAATATACAGTATTAGTGCGGTGTGCATTGTCAGTGAAAAGCGCTGTAATATGTCTTTGATATTACACATTTGGGCAATTCCACGTTAATGTTACGTTAGTCTGTACTTAACAACATATTTCACTAAAAAATGCAACATGTTAACTCGGTTTTTGGTAGATTTTTACGTGACTAACATAAGGCTACTGTGGAAGTGCCCATTTCGGTTACGACGACATTCGTTTATAACGACACTATTTTTAGGTCCCTTTGATGACGTTATAACCAAGTTCTACTGTACTAGGCAAGCTCAACATAATAATAACTTATAGAATTCGTAAAAAGATTCTCATGATGTGTACTCTTAATATCCAAAAAGAGTTGGAAAATGTAATCAAGCAAAACATGGTAATAAGATAAAAAATATCCAGGCACTGCAGTACTTAATTCTTTGTTGACCTCTTAGCAATCAAAACTTGAAAAAATTCCTCTATTAGCTTCACCAAGTTTGTGTAACTGCATGCAACAAATCGATAATCACCAGATTTATATGAAATCTGACACTAAAATGTGTCAATATGTTTAAATTTCATTAAAAAACTGACAATAATAAAGGACAGTACAAAAATGTTATTTCCGTGCACATGTCACAAAAATCAAGCAAACTTGCTGAATATTTATCATAAGAAAATTGTTTTGAACAAAACTTGTAGATATAAACGAACCTCATATTTTATGTCCAATATACTTTTCCTGTAAGTTGTATGGTTTTCAATTAAACAAAATGGATATTATGGTATCTAAAGAGAATAACAGAGTTAATATGCCACAAATGTTATATATTTCCTTAATTGCCTGATATAGTCTACATGACATGAAAGGAATGAAGAAAAATTTAATATTCTTCCTGTCTTTACTATTGTATGAACCAAGAAGCTGACTTGCTCATGCTTACACAATCTCTTGAACTCATAACCATCTGTCAATGTCTTCTGATTGCAAATTAGAATGGCTCTGTGTGCTAAGCACTTCTGCTTTTGGGTAGCCTAAGAACTCAATTCATATCTCTCCTCCATTACCAGCAAAAGATCTTCCCTATCTTAAGAAAATAACAATATATGAACTGGGAACGCGAAGTGAGAGAGCCTACATGGTGGTGCGAAGGTAGCTGCTAGTTAGATGGTGAGGCAAAATCTGTATGCATTCTTTGGTTCATGGAGGCAGAGTTATGTTAACTCTCTAAGGTAAGAAAGCATAAAGTTGTTCCTATGCTTAATTGAATAAGCACACCATGAATGCATAGAGAGAGAGGAGGTACAGGTCCACCACCCACCATTCTTGACCTCACTGCTATATGCAGGTGAGTAATCAGCTTCATGCCCTGGCTGCTTTTCCCTTATGGAAAGACCGCCAACACAGTACCAACTGGACAGGAGGCAGGGTGGGCCCATTAGCTGGTCTCAAGAGCTTCAGAGTAGAGAAAAATCTCTTGCTCCTGCCTTGAATCGAACCCTGACCCTCCAGCCCATGGCCTGTTGCTATATCGAGTGAGCTATCGCCACTCCACATTAACTTTCTAGATGCAGACTAATGATTTAACACTGCTATACCAAAACCAAGGCCATACACCTCTCATTCTCATAATATTCCCTTCAGATTCATCTAAATATCATCAAACTTCCAAGTATCTGGTATTTGGGAGGTTTCCTCATCAAAATTCTGTATAGCTTCTTAGTCTTCTCCAATTATGAGAGCCATTTATATAGCCTCTATGACTTCACTACCTTATCAATTCTGGATATCCTGTACAAAGTTCCTCATTATGTAGTACTCCATATTCCTCGCAGACTATAATCACTTGATATCCAAATATTTTCCTAAGCTTCTAGTCTTCGAAAACTACATATATGTTTCCTTTCCTCACAGTAAAAGAGTTCAAATGGATTAAAAACTGACCAAATGGTTTCAATTGCCACCTTTATGGTGTTTCTAAAAATAGGTGAGATGTTTTTGAACTGCAAACATTTATTCCTCTAAATTTACATCATGAATTGCATTTCCATTTCTTGGTTATGTCCAGTACTTTCAGGTTTATTTCTAAAGAAAAGCAGATCTGTTTCAGTTCGTAAATAACAGCCTATCAAGGCTGTTGCATACATTATCAGGCTAAAATCAAACTGAGGTAAATAGTCAGCATCATACACCAACTGCTTCACCCCCATAAAAAATCCCTTTGCAGTCATTGCACACCCACTCTGTATACACATATTCCTTACATTCAGAAAGTTTTCTTTTGTTTAATATTCAACTTGCATTAGCTTTACAATATACGCTTTTTTCATACATAATTACCTTGCAAATAACTTCAACGAAAGCGAAGTCCTTATTTTGAGAAGAACAAAACATTTTGTTTTGGATGACCTACCTGAACATTAGTAGCAACTTCATCAGTCTCAACAGGAACTGCACTTTCACCTTCACCTACACAATGACTTGTTTCTGCTTCTACCAGCCCGTCAACTTTCCCACTGTCCTCAACATCTTTCTCCACTGTTGTTGTAACACACAGTGACGTTTCAATAACCTCTGGCTTACATTCACTCTCCTCAGCATCTGTTTTACTGTCCTCATCCCTGTCACTCAAACGAAGCTTCATTTCAAAGTCAGACGATTCATTCACACGTAATTTCAGGCTGCACTGGCTTGATGAACTACTCATATTGTCATCTTCATCGTCAATTTTTGCAATCACAAGTCTTTCTTCCTCATCACTACTGTCGCTGTCAGAGTCTGTATCTTCAACAAATTCCTTGCTGAGAACAGGCTTTCTGCCACCTGTCTTCCTCTTTCCTGTCTCCTTTGATGGTGGATGCTTTCTTGGTTCTTCAATAGCTGGAGGCTCATGCTTAGGTGCAGCCATTGCTTCTTGCTGTATGCTACCTATGTTGCACAGTGACTTCTTGTCATCAAAAATGTCCATGTCATTGGATTCTTCATCTGTCATGGACTGTTCAATTACTCGCTGAATTGCTGCATTGATCGGGTCATCTTCGTACTCGTCATCTTCTCCACCCTTTAGAAGCAGTTTCATCACATCATCACTTATCTGAACACCAGAAGACTTTTCATTTCCCTTTCCTGATTCTTCATTTCCTGCCTCTCTTTGTGTTACCTCTTCATTTTTCTCCGAACCAAAGCTTGTGAAGATATCTGCTGCCATAGGAAGCAGCTGTGGTGGTTCAGGTGATTTAGATGGTGCAACTGATGGTTCTGGAGCAGGAGTGGGATCAGTGGATTCTGAATTCACCAGAGTGGGGAAGAGTTCTTCATGATGACGCTGTGGATATGTGAATAAGGGTTCCTCCGTTTCTGTCTCTGTTTCATCAGCTTCTGAGATAACAAGGCGGTCCTCACTGTCATCTTCACCTTCATCATCTGGCCCCTCACCTGGTAATTCGCTGAAAAGACTGAGGGGTTCCAGTTCAGGAGACTTTATGGCTTTTGGAGCCAATGGGCTAGCTGCTTGATTTTCACAAGGCTTAGTGGTCACATGGTATGATGGGGACTCACACAATTTATCAAAAGCTTCTTCACAAGCTGATAATGGGCGAGATTTCTGTGGAGTCACTGGGTCTACTGATAATGGTTTGACAGAAGCGAGCTGCAGCTCATCAGCAAGTGCTGTGTCTTTTCTTTTCAGTTCTGTAGCTGTCTCCACCTTCTTAGGGATGGAACGTCTGAACCTCTTTTTCACTTCTTCAAATGGTGTATCACCTTTCCCCTCAGTCTTATTTGGTATGGCAGACCTAATAAGCTTCTTTCTTGGAGACTTTTCTTCTTTGAGTTCTATAACATCATCGAAGATTCTTGGTCGTCTATTCAGCTTACCGGCCCTTTCATCTGACAGTGTGTCCCGTTTTGATCGAACTTCAAATTCAAATGGTTCGGGTTCCTTAAACTCATATACATCTTCTGTGTTTGGTTCTTCTACCTTTTCTGGTACCTTTTCTTCCACAGCCTTGGACTGTATTTCCCCTTCCCCCTCCTCGTCGTCATCCTCCTCCTCCTCTGTCTTGCACCTAACATCGATAAGTCCCGTCTTGTCATCCAAGATCAGCTGTGAACATTTCTCCTCTGTTCGATGTACATCCTGTGAGAGCTTTACAGCTTTTTCAATTCCTTTCAGCTCTGATCTGATCTGATTGAGATCAAAATCTCTGCCTTTTGGCTGTTCCTCTTCACTTTCAGTGCCAGGCTCTTGTTTTATGCAGGCCTCAACTTTAGCCTCATTCTCTGGTTTCTTCTCTAAGATTGGCGTGACCAACATCTTTTTTGTCCGCTTGCTTCGTCTTTTCTCTGAACTTTGAAGCACTTCACTTGGTGCATCTGTGTCAGGGGTAAGATCTATACTATCATCTTCTCTTGTACTCTCTTTATCATCTTCATCTTCTTCTTCCTTTCTCTTGCCTGCCTTCCGCCTAAATGGCCTCTCCAGTTTTTTTGAATCTTCTTTTGGAAATTCATCTTTACTGGCTTCTTTTTCTGCTAACAAAATTCTCTTTTCTGTTTTACTTCTTGTTTGTGTTGGTTCTATCTCAACCTCTATCTCAGACTCATACTCCTCACTCTCTGACTCCGATGGCATGGAAATATCTACAAAGAAACAGAAATGTTTTACTTTCAATGTAACCAAATGAAGAACTAGTGTAGCTTAGCTTAAGATAACCATGCGAGGCTATGTAATTATATGCTGATCAGTATGTATTGTCCATTACAATGAAAACTTGCACCTTCATAATAAAACATAATCTAATGTTTCTCACATTATCCTAAAATGGCTTATTGCATGAAAATATAAACACTGCAAAAAGATTTACTCCATTCAGATCTGCTTTTTGTGTGAAACATATAGCACTGTAAAAGTATTAAAGACAGAAGTAAAGTTGTTTGTTGTAACTGTTGAAGAGAGGTGCAAGTTTCATCACCACATGACAAAACGGTTCAGTAAGAACATGAGAATGCAGGAATATGTACTTTGGCTTCTGATCTAGAAGTCAAATTGGATCCCATTTCAAAAATACTGTAAACCAAAATATCAGCACAATTTCTATCACTTCTTACTCTCTTATTTCAACGTTCATAGTGATCGCTTTATACGGAATTACCCTATTAAACCTTTGATCCTTAGCATTTGGCAACAGCAACCATGCTAAATTATGCACAAGTCATACAATAATGGCCATTCAACTGCTGAAAGTGGACTGAAAGTACAATGCACCTGTGTGTCCAGACATCCTCCGTGTGCGTCTGCGGAACTCTGAGCCAGGTACCATACTGTTGGGTTCACTAGTATTGCGGGTAATACGACTGCTACAATTTGACCGAGATGCCGAAGTTGATGTTGCTGGTGACTTTGTGCGACTTGAGGATGAAGTCACTGAGGATGGTGTTGTAGAGCGGGGAGGCTGTTGTGCGTTTGGCACATCAGGTGTTCGACCACATACTGATGGTCGGCCTCGTTTACCCAGCGATGGTTTTGAAGCCTGAAAGGAAACAATGCGTACCATTACAATGACTATCTGATGACATACATTAAATAAATCATGTAATGAAAAAAGTATCCAATCATGCAAAAACAAGTAACAAAGGCATGACACACACTACAAAAGCTCCATGCTAAGCAGCCACTAAGAACACTACTTCTACACTACATACTGGACACATTAGAAGTGTTGTGCTGACGAGAAACACACAAAGGAGAGAGTGATGATGAATCTGAAACAATAAAACACTGAAGATCATGCTTGTTATGAAGGTGGAAGTGTGAAAATGTTTACCTTGAGCTGTGCTTGTGCTTGCTGGTGCCTGAGGCGTTTGGCTCTAGAGGGAGTCCAACTCAGATTGTCAGCAATTCTCCCCCGTTTGATCCACTCGTCGTAGCGAGTGTTCCAACCCGTGTAATGCACCAGATACACACTCTCGTTTCCATCCTCTTCAATATCTAGTACCTACAACCAATAATAGTAGGAAAAAAAAATCTTAAGTCTCAACTTCTAAGAAACACCACGCTGGTGTCTCCCACGAACAGACAAGTTGCAGTAATTCAACTTGTTTTTCCCTCAATAAAGGCCACTATTGGGAGAATTGCATGACATGCTACTATCTGACCATTGTGTTAGTTTAAAAAGGAACAGAATGCTAAGAACGATCAAAGCTGCACAGGTAAGGTGAGAGTGAAATGGTGATTCAGGCCAGCACATAATTGCAAACAACCAGGTATCCCCATTTCATTTGCATCAACAATTGACAAGACCCACAACTGTGCAATAATGTTTCAGAAGACCTACCTTTGCCTCATATGTGACCTTGGATTCATGAGTTGGACCATAGTAAACTTTCAACTTGTCTCCTATGCCCACAGAGATATAACTTGCCAACTGGCCCATAGTTCTGAAACAAAATAATGTTATCATATTTCTCCATCATTTTTTTACTTAAGGAAAGAAAGTAGGCTTATGAGATCACCATGTCGTGTGCGCATTCTTTCAACTTATGAACCAGTGAACAGATTTTCATGAACCTTTTCATGAATGATAAGTCAGTAATAATAACACAGAAGACATGAAAATGGGTAAGTGGGAGCAACATTAGCACCACTTAAATTAGGGCCTTGAAATGATGCTTGGTAACAGATCTTGGAAAAAAATATGCAACTCTGTTATGGTAATGCTTTTTCATGAAACACATAAAATATTAATATGGTGGCCTGTGCAATAACTTTTTATTACCTTTTCATTTGATGGTGGTAACTAATAAAACTACTACAGCTAGGTATGTAAAAAAGACAGAGCTTAAATATATCTCCACACAGCAATTACAATCATGGTGACAATGCAAAATTTTGAGGGTGTATTCAAAAAATTCCATGCATACAGAATCTGTACTTAAGTAACAAGCGCTTCCTAAAAATAATAACAGCAGCCGCAAATAATTTGTTGGGTTAGAGATGTAAGCAATGGGAAATAAGCTTTAACACTTCTGCTCAAACAACTAGTTAAGAAGGATATTCAAGGCAACACAAAACCAAGAGAGATAAAAACAGATACAAGCAGAAGACATGATTTTCTATAGATTATCAGGAAACTGACAGGAATGAATAAGATTTGAGGCTTTCACGGCGGTGACTATGAAGAAAGCAGTCTTCTGGGATTTTGCACCATGTATATGTGGTGTTAACCGACGTTTCGGAGGAACGTATCGCCTCCATCTTCAGGGTAGAAGAAAAAATATATAAGAAATCTGCAAGCAAAGAGACCGTGAGAACTGGTAGAAGCAGACTGGAATGAATAAGATTAGAATCAAAGATAATTGGGCAAAATCTGACAGGACAAACATTAAAAGAAACAGTGGTAAAGGATGTGCTACACATGGATAGCAACTAGATTCCTCTGAGAACATCACAGATGAAGACGACAAGAGGACAACTAAAGGGGACACACATACAAGGAGAACTTTATCTGCAGATGGAGATGAAGAACTGAAAATAACCAAATCAGAAAACAACACAGCATAATCATTTATTAAAAACTTTAACATAGGATATTATACAAGGGTTGGATAAAAAGTAGTGGCAACACTGCTGTAACATGAAAGATGTGAGTCAGGTGGCACTAGCGCCGTCTGTAGCTGATAGCAGAAGTTCAGTTGAAGTAGTGCAGTGAGTGGCTCTGGTTGTGTTTCATTGAGTTGCATTGTGCATCATCTTGAAGCAGCCCATCGTTGATGGTCTGCGCAGGAGTTAGCTGCTGAGGTAGGCCTATGTCACAAAACCGTGCTCCACATTCTGCACGATATTCCTGAATACCACAAAACCGCAGCACGTTGGGTACCCCATACAATGTCCAAGGTGCAACAATGGCAACGTTATGCAATTGCACAGGGCTTGCTGGACTGGTACCAGAGGGAAGGTGATGACTTCCTTGGAAGGATCGTCACTCTGGACGAAACTTGGACTTGCTCATATGAACCGCACTTGAAGTGACAATCAAATGAATGGAAGCATCCTGGTTCTCCTCGTCCAAAGAAAGTGCGCCCTACACAGAGTAATGTGAAGGCGATGTTCACTGTGGCATATGACACTGATGGAGAGATACTGCACCACACTGTACCTCAACAACAGACGGTAAACGCTGCCTACTACTGCAATTTCCTGCGTAATCATCTTTGTCCAGCACTCAGAAGAAAGTGACGACACGTGTTGGCAACGAACCCCATCATCCTTCATGACAATGCAAGGGCTCATACTGCTGAAACTGTCAAGGATCTCCTTCGCTGCTGGCGATGGGAGATACTGTAACATCCACCATACTCACCAGATATGAGTCCATGTGATTATGATCTCTTTGCCAAAGTGAAAGAACCACTGCAAGGGACACGTTACAACACAAGAGTGGAGATTATTTGTGCTGTAGAGCAGTCACTGCTGGATGTCAACAGAAATGGACACGCTGATGGTGTATGACGCCTTCCACAAATTTGGCAGGTGGTGGTACACATGGGGGTGATTATATTGAAGGAATGTAGGTGTGTTTACCTCAGGTAATAAAGTCATTTCGGAACTACAGAGGCATTGCCAGTACTTTTTATCCAACCTCTGTACTACTGTGATGTCAATGGATTATGATAATTCAAAGTGGAATTCTTATATTAACTTACTCTTCTGACTTGGACTTCTCATCAGTGTCCTTACGCTTGCGGCCACGTTTCTTTAATGCGAGAACCATCTCTTCTTCTTTCTTGGGACGAGGAAGGACCCTCTTCTCAGATTCTCTCACAGGAGTCCGACTTTCACTTGAGCGCCGATCTGGGATTACAGTATCCTTCTTCAGTCGTACATCCTCCTTTGATTTAGATCGTGTTTGCTTTGGGAATAAACAAAATATCACCATCTCCTTCAACAATTCGGCACTCGTGTCTGCTCTACATGCAAAAGATTACACAGTGTAAATGTTCAACTGAAAACTGTGATCAAAAGACACAAAAGGCTGGATTTTTCAAGGAACAAAAGCTAGTGCTACTTCATCCACCTTCATGATTCTCTGCTGTTAACTGTGATAGTTTTTGTTATTTAATACTGAGTTTGCATTATGTACATGGAACAAAACAATACAGCAATGATTTCAATCAGTTTTAACCTATTACATGACTAACAGTGATTTCAATCACAAGACCGACTAACAGTGATTTCAATCACAAGACCTTTGTGTTACTATTTGAATACTGTACTGATTGTATTAGGGGGCACGCAGTAGCGTAGTTGGTTGAGGCACTGGATTTTGGATTTTTTCAATTGATCTAATCCTTCCAGCCACACTATGGCCCTGGGGTTGACTCAGCCTCTAACATAAATGCGTACCAGGAATCTTTCTGTGGGGTAAAACGTGGCTGGCGCATAAGGCTGACAACTTTGCCGCCATCTATGAGCTGACGGTCCAGAAAATTTCCAAACCTCAACACCTCACAAACGTATGGGCCTCCATGGCCTGTTACAGGGATATCTTTACTTTTTTTACTTTACTGATTGTGCTATGAGATGGCTGTAACTTTGATAAATTTTTACAACGCTTGAGTTTCATGATCACACAACCACTGCTTACATCAAAGTTTATTGTGGATTTGTAGACTTAATCCATATCTGAGAGAATCAAAAGTTACAGAAACTGGCTTGAGCCAACACAGGGCTCCATGTTTATATAGAGAGAAGTTGGCAAGTTTGACCTTGGTGACACAGTATGGCATACACCATCAACAATTTTGGCATATGCTGTTCATTATGATAAAGTTGAGGGTATAAGTCAAACCATAAAGTTCAGAATTTTAGTCTTCCTGTCTTTTATTTATAAATAAAAGGATTAAATGACCATATATAAAAAACCAGTTCTACATATCCTTTTGCATGAGAGTGACACTTGATCTCACCCTAAAGAATTGCAATTGCAATGGCAATATTTTGATGTAAGAGAGGCGGAAGATAAGGATACAGTAACGAGCTCCATAATATCAGATATTGTTCAGGTGACCACAACATCAAGGTGGGGGTTGCATACATACAGGAGATTTGAAACAGAGACAATACTCTGGTTGGAAAACCTTATGGGAAGTTATCACTTTGTAGACCTAGGCTTAGATGGAAGGATGAAAATATTATTAATATTAAGAGATGATGTGTGAGGGTTTGGACTATACTGAACTGGCTCAAGATAAGTTCCATGGCTGATTATTTTAAATGTAATAAACTGTCAGCATCCATATAAGGTGGTGATTTTCTTATGCAGTTGAGTGAACATATGCTTTTAAAGGACCCTGATCCAAGCAGCATCATAACATCGTATTGTCTCCTAGTACAACAGAAAATAAAGAGTATTATGTACTACATACCACTGTACTGATGTGGCTCTAGATAGACCAGTGAAGGGCTCTTTTGAACAAAGCAATAAATCTCATGGTTCCACAAAGTGTTGGGAAATTCTTGAGTAGCTGCACAACTGGCGGCTTCTCAAGAAGGGCTCAGCTCCATGGAGTTAGTTATATACTACATGCATGTTATGAAGTAACTAAACATAGCTTTACCTTCTCTTCGTCTTCTGGCTTTTTCTCAGATTTCTTCTTTGCCTCATCCAGTTTCTCTTCTTCTAATGATATTTTTGGCTTGTCTTCTTTTACTTTTTCATCTTTCTGTTTTACCTCAACTTTCTCTTCTTTAACTTGTACCCTTTCTCCTACCATCTTGATTTTTTCTTCTTTCTTTGCTTTATTATCCTTTGGTTTCTGCTTTACATCCTTAACCTTTAATTTTTCCTCGGAACTTGATTCATCTTGGGACAAATGAATGGCAAGATTTGGAACCAGTCGTGACCTCATCAAGTCTTCAGAGCTCTTAACTTCAGTCTTACTTGTACTACTGCTGCTACTGTCATCTTCAAGAGTCACTCGAGTGCGAATTTCTTTGCCTTTATCTTCTTTTCGTGTCTCTCTTACCCGTAACCTTTCTACAATTTCGTCAGGTTCATCTTTTATTGTGTCACATGCTCTAGGTTTTTCTTCCTTCACTTTAGACTTATCTACCATTAACTCCTCTTCCATCACATCCTTTACTCTCAATTTCTCAGCCTTCTTCTCTTCTTTAGTTGAATTATCAGCTTTTTCCTCTTTTTGTTTGGATTTTTCTTTCTTCTGAACTTTTGGTTTATGCGTTTCTTCCAACTTTTCTTTTCTCTCTGTTTCACTAGGCTTTTCTGCATCCTCCTTCTTATCAGTCTGAGAATTATCCTTTTCTGTAACATCAGGAACTTTCTCAATAACCACTGGTGTAGAAGGTTTATCCTAAAAAAAGAGACAAAATGACACTTCAGAAGCATACAGAGAAGCAATACGAGACTAATTATTTACTTTTCTAAAATTCATCTAACATTCATACTCAGAATTTGGTCTGAACCTGTGAATTGGTGGGCATGTTGAAGGGTGATTTCGCTTTTTTCCCCACTTTTCTTATTAAAAAAGTAGACTTATAAGATCACCTTACTCTGTGTGTGTGTGTGTGTGTTTATCCATCAGCCACTAAGAACTTCTGAATGCTTGACCCAAACTTTATGAAACTTGGTATGTATATCATGCCACCTGCGGCCATTTCAATGGCGTACTTCATAAATCCTTCCTGTCAGCAATACCAACACTGAAGCTGCTCAGACTATTGTTTTACTGACTTCATTACACATACATACTGAAGTCTTTTGTAACTGTTCAAACACCCAAAATGTAGTGTCAGGTAGATGATTAATTCTTCCCAGAACTTGTTGTATACTGGAGTGCCCTTACAACACAAAATGCTCAAATATATAGTTGCACCATCCACATCACAATATGTATTATATTTCAGCATCCTGTTGCATTGTGGCATCATTTTCAGACTGTAAGTATACCATCTATAACGCAACAATAACCTTATATAAAAGACATTAAACATATATTTAATACACTAAAAGTGCTTGTTAAATGTTTTAAAATGTCATTAAACTTATACATTCATTCCATGTTGCAACATGTTTCGGCCACACATGGACCAACATCAGGCAACATTTTTGTTACTGTACACTTTGTCTTCTGTGCCCTTAGGCACATCGTTGTTTTTATTATTAGTTTCTTTCATAGAATACTTCCACTGTATCTTTTCTGGCGGCTATTTCTGTCTTTATGTTGTTTACTTTTTTGTGTATGCTTTAGTGCTGTATTCCCTTATAAGGGAAGGGAAGATTATTGTTGCATTATAGGCGGTACAGTTACAATCTAAAACTCAAATATATTTACGTTCAAATAAATATTCAACACATCACCCAAGAAGAACACACAATATGAAACACTTATATAACTTTACACAGTAATGTCTGACACATCTTTGTAACTGAATATAAATAAAGTTACTTTAAGTCTGCAATTAAGATGGCAGTGAATATATCACACAATATGTATTCAGTGTTGCTGATACTAGGTCAAGGATGGACATAACCTCTCCATTAAGGCACCCTGCTCTATAATTTTCATATAGAAAAAAATCCCCTAAAATTAAAGTACATGCCAATTATGTACATCTGGATAATACTGGATTTGACAAACAAGCTGTACCAGGAAGAACAAACACTACTATAACACTGCAGAGGACAATGCTCCCAGTATTAACATCAAGAAATGAACCCTTGCTGTCCCATTTAAATACCAATATAGTTCTCTGCTAGCCTTATTTAAGCTCCAATGACCAATTTAACTGGAGCTAGTATTATGAACTGCTTTGTTTTTCTTTATAACTTGCATAAAATGGAAGAGATGTTGCAAAGTGTGATGAAAATACTGATATGGGTAGGGGGGTATGCGTGACAAAAATAAAGGGTTCTAGATCGGATGATTGGATTTACTGGCACTTCGGTTACAATCTCTCTAAATTACAATCAACATATCACTATTGCTAATTTACACACTTTCCAGTTCACCGTTGTACACGCACTAGAACTCTCAGTTTCCACCACTTGTCTCCTACCAATGAATCTCAACAAAGAAACTATCACTTCAAATCTTGCCATTTCTTGTCTAATCACCTTCGACAGCCGATTCTCCAATTCTATCGTCAGCGTATCTCCAGTCTCTATAGTCTTGACTTTGTACTAATTTGTACTCAACTAATCTCCTCTCAGCTGCAAACACATTCCCATTACACAAAAGCGGCTTGGACCATGAAGAAAACACAGCACACATACTGTTGCGTGGCATGGACCACACAGAAAACACTTCCACTGCATTGTTGCATGGCGCATGTGTTGGAACGTGTTTAGTGAGCTGTTGCCTAGAAATGCTTTGATGAAATCCATTACAATATGGTCTGCAAATATCACAGTTTCTGCTGCTTTAATACGGATTGTGAATTCTTTTATAAATGAACTGTACTGCTGTAGCTAGTGACAGATGTAGTGTTCTTCAGAGCGTGAAATCACTTCAAGGTGATTTATAACCAGATGAGGCACAAAATGGTACCATATAATAATGTCATTTGCATCCCAGAGAACCCAATCTTCACTGTAGTCTGTCGTCGTAACCACCACCAGCATCATCATTACCTTTATTGTCACCACTTACATTTGCACCTGCCTGACAGTCATCAGAATTACAACTGTCTCTCAAATCAAGCCCATATACCTTGGCATCAGGGTCAATAGGATCAAATATAAATCAATGTCTGAATTCTGATTAAATTCACTGAAAGAATCCGAGTCATCATTCAACTGTCATGGATCTGCTTTCTGGCCAATACATGCCCATTGGGAAATAACTACAGAGAAAAGTATATGTAGTCCCTTAGAAAATCTCTCACAAATTCACAAAATTACTAAAATAAAAGGTTTGTTTAACTCCACTGCAAAGAGGATGGTTTGCATGACAGAGACTCTGTTTACCTCCCTCAGACTGACTCCAGATTGTCTATAACATTCATAAAACACAGAACACGTGGCAGATCAAGTTCAATATAGGACCATAAGGTGAAATTTCAAGTGTTGGACTCAGTGCAATTAATATTAATATACTTACACTTATTTTGTCCTTCAATGGATTAATAGGAGTTGCACGGTCCCGGTCCCTAATAAGACTCCGACCTGACCGATGTCTTGATCTGTTGCCACGAGGATGGTTAACCATTGTGCAACCCAATTTCCGATAGAAATCTTCGAAACTATGCAGGAACCTTGTGTACAGAAAATTAATTCATAATAACTTTCCAAGTTTTCAAAACTAAATATAAAAGGATAACGTGAAGGAAAATCCAGTCACAAAATTAATTATACATGTTTCAGTAATACCCTAATGGTCTTATGCAGATGCATAAAGAGAAGAGGNACTAGTTCCCTAAGGCGCTGAGAGGGATGAATAAAGAGAGCGGGGGGGGGGGGGTGAAAACAGAACTCGTAAATAAGGACACTACATATATTTCCGATTGCATTATTGCAAAATTTTCTTGCTGCAATGCCTACAGATCTTACCAATGTCAGCTTCTATTTTTGAGGACAGAGGGATTCATTCCCACTAGCCTCCACTACACATGATCTGTAAATGGACGGCTCACAATTATTTAACGAAACAGTACTTTATCTTCAACTAGCCTAAAACAGCCTTTTTTGTAATGTGTCTACAATGTTCACCTATTACTGTTAGCATGCTGCTTCTTACTTCCACTTTGTACCAAGCAGAGTGAAAGAAAAAGGAGGAACAGGAAAAGAGAGGGGAAAAAAGAAAAGAAAAAGTAAGTTGTCCCTGTGCTTAACTAATTAAGCACTATGCCATGAAGGTGTACGGTGGAGTGGATGTATAGATCCACATTTTCTTGACCTTGGCACTAGCTGGAGGTGAGTCGTCAGCTTCACGCCCCTGCTACGTTACCTCCAATACCCACTGGACAGGAGGCTGGGTGGGCCAAAGAGCCAGTCTGGACGATATGGAGATGAGAAAATTCTTGACCCTACCAGGACTCGCACTCTGATCCCTTAAGTCACCCAGCCAGTAGCCAGTCTTTGACACTAGTGCTGTCTTGGACGAACATCTAGCAAATCTTGCAGTTCTTTTAGTGATCCAATGTGACCAACTGAGTGAAATCTTCATCAGTTTTATTTACTGCATCTCCCATAAATTCTGTAAGGTTGACTGGGAAGATGCCTATACAGAAGAGGGTCTAAAGCACTTCGTATGTGTTGATGATAAAGACGGGAGGAAAAACTAATGAGCTCTTTGGTAACACAATTTTCTTCAGAAAGTCCAGCAAAGTTTAATAAATGGCAAATCATCATTCCTTTAGGATCATAAAATCCTCACACACGTAGCACACTTACAGGCAGTTACAACTTGCAAACAGGCCACGCAAGGCACACATCACTTTGTGTGTTTTTGATATAAAATGCTTTGGCACATATGAAGCAAATATTTTGCTGCAGGTCACACTACATGTCAAATTCAGTGTAACACTGAGCTACAGAACCATTAAGAGCAGAGATGGGGTATAAAAGAAAGGCAAAGCTTTAATCTCAAGATTAATACTAATGTGGATGCAGATGATGATAATACAGGTATGGAACGCCCTAAGATCCTCAACACTGAGTTTGGAATAATGATACTAAACTTCAGGACTTAAAAACCCAGATTACTGGGTACTGTAAAACAGTTACGATGTTATTCATAGGAAGAAAAAAAGACTTACTTCTTGTATGCTTGTTTAACGAGATTCACAATGCTCGAACTACCTTGGCCAAAACCCAACTTATGAGAGATTATCTTCCATTGGTTTTGATTTGTAACCCGGTTGTATCCACCCAGCTTATGAACAACCTGAAAATGTGGAAACCTGTGGGATTATGGACTTCAAAATACTGCATATAACACATACTATAAACACAGAAAACATATTTCCAATATGAGCTGAATGCCAAAAAAAAAAAGTTTAACACATTTCACCCTATTTTCTTGGTATGAATGTATGAGGGGTAGGCCTTCTTGGCCCTTGCACCGCGAGAAAGGTGAACTCAAATAAAAAGTGTGCACTGTAAGACGGTTAGCATAAATACACTTCATGGACATGAACCAGTACAACAGGACGCTAAAATATAACATTATTTAAACTACTTTGATCAGTATCATATATTTCGATTGGTTATATCCGGAAATAAGGAAAATAATTTTACACCAGCTTGGAACTGTGCCAAAAATTTTTGAAGGCAATGGCATACAGTGTTTCTTGGAATTTGTTCATAAATTATGGCGTGCAATCTGCTGCAATCCAAGGTGTGGTTCAGTTCTATTACCTCAACTCCTTATTCAAACCCTATTACAGGACATGAAAAATTTATACAGTACGAACATTCATGTCAAAGAGAAGGTTTATTCTGCTTTGCTTCCTGCAGCATACTGCACAGCAACATTAGCCCAACAAACTTATGTCCTCGTAGGCTGGCCAGACTTACAATGCAAAGATCGGGGTATGAGTCATGTACAGGGTGTCTGGATGAAAGGTATCCCAAATAAAATAATTCTCTCTCAGAAAGCATTTACTATACACATTTATGGGTTACACAATTAAAAAGGGAAACTATCAAAGTTTTCTTCTGAGTATATAACTTTCTCCCAACTCTCTGTCCAGGTAATTATTAACATGGTGGCAGAAATGTGGCGGCGCCCCATCGTGATGGAGGATAGTTTGAGGTGGTAATTAGGCCAGCACATTCAGCTCCAGCTTGTCCAAGTACGAATGTTCAGTTACAGTCTTTTCCGAAAAGAAAAACAGTCCAATCAACTTGTCGTGCATTAAGCCGGCCCATATGTTCACTTTGGGGCTGCCTCTCTCCAAGTCACATATGGCATGTGGATTTTCACTGCCCCAAATCCAGCAGTTGTGCCTGTTTACAACTCCGCTGACATGGAACATCGCCTCATCTGAGAAGCACACTTGGCGGAGGAAACTGGGTGACGAGTCAATTCTTTCTAGCTTGTCCACAGCAATGTTTGTGCATGATACTTGGTCACTCAGGTTTAGTGCAATAATCATTTGAATCTTGTACACTCTTAGGCAGAGTCTTTTGTGTAGTACATCATGCACTGTTGAATCTGGAATTTGTTTGTAAGTGCAAGCTAGCAGCATGAACTGATTTGTGAGGACTTCACTGGAATGCCTCTCTAATGTGATTAACAATTTCTTCAGAGGTCCATGTCTTTCCAGGAGATTTTACACGCAGCAGACTACCTGCAGTCCTCAGTTTGTTGTCCCAGAACCAAATGCTTTTTCGTGTAGGAGGCTGACGTCCATATTGCGTTCTAAAATGATGCTGGACAGACGTAAGAGATTGCAACTCTGCTAGCCACAGCTCACACTGAATCTGTTCCTGTGGTGTCAACACCATGATTGAGCTAGCCAAAGGTCACCATCTGGTGCATGCACATAAGCCGGGCATGGAAAAAAACTTAGTTTTCCTTTTCCAATGACATAAACCGGATAAGTGTACGACAACTAGTTTCCAAGATACAGATTTGTTATTTCGGATGTGTCATCTGGACACTCTGTATTAGGAATAAGCATTTTCAGTAGCAATAATAAAATAAAAAAGTGGCAGGGGGGGGTTCCTCTGTAAATGCAATTGTTAAGTGCACTGACACATTCTAAACATACCTTAAAAAGTTTGTATAAATCCACATCTCTATTGCCAATGATGGGTCCCTTGTTTATTGGTGTACCTCTGTCATCCATGAACTTGTACAACTGAGCTACAAAGTGATCCTTTTCTTCCCGTGGCTCATCATCAGAACTCTAAAATTCATATTACAATGATAATACAATCACAGAATACTTCAATGCTTAATACAATATGGGAGATCATATTTTACAAATATATATGTCCAACTATTCCTCAGAATTTCATAACCAAATAAACCTGTCATTATATTTAGATAACAAACTGCTCCTACTAATCAGTCACACAAGTTCTGCATCGACAGTGAAAACATTCTAACTGCAGTTACACATCTCAAAAAATGCCCAGCATCAAAGCATTCTGTATCAGTAATATTACAATATTACATTTAGAATAAAACTGCTTGCTGCTTATATTTTAAAGGACAGGAAAGCAGACTGCTTTTACCGTTCTCACTGTCTTGTTGCTTGCAGATTTCTTATACTTTTTCTTCTACCCTGAAGATGGAGGCGATACGTTCCTCCGAAACGTCGGTTAACACCACATATACACGGTGCCAAATCCCAGAAGACTGCTTTCTTCATCTTACACATTAATTACCAAATGTTTAACTTCACTTTGTAAGCGTGTTAATTCAGGGGGGGGGCAACTGTGGAACACAGAACATACTGTGACCACTTTTGAAAAGAATGAAAGGTACACATTTTGGCTTAATTTGAGTGAATACAATATAACAATTCTCTCTAATTTATAAAATGTCATTTACGTCTGAATCAAGCCCTCCATCGCTGTCACTGTTGCCACTACTGCCATCCATTCCAAATAACAGGTCCCGATCCCAATGAGGTGGTAGCTCATCCCTGTCCAGGAATAGAAGGGCTTTCTCTACTGCTGCAAGAAATCAGGAAGAAGAATATATATACACTACACAACTGCAATGAAAATCTTCAGGTTAGGGAAATTCATGAAGGGTTAAGTGAAAGTGAATGAAATAATTAAATTTACCTTACAAGCCGCCAATAATTCCCCATAACATTCAGTAATTATCACAGGAGTGAAATCCCTTTACATTATATTTAACTCATAAGCATATTTCAAATTATAATACAATTTATTAATCCCTAACTGAAACTCTGCATAATGCAGTTTAAGATGTTCAGTGTAGATGTCTCTATTAAATAGAAGTGAGAATGCATACAAACCAATTTTTGCATTTCAACACATTTGTGAAATAAATCAAACTAAGTTTTGACTTCTAACTGTTTTACAACAGAATGGGACCACACTTCATTTCAGTTGGGAGGTCTCGCATCCCTGTGAAAGCTAGGTTTCCTAATTGATGGGCTGAAAAAAGATTATCAATAACCTGACCTTCAAGAAGTCCAGACTTTACAACACAACATTATTTAATGTGCAGATATGTGAAAAATATGGTTTATGCAAAGAATATAACATCTACAGAAGAGAATTTGTGTTATTACAGTGACAACTGCTATAGATATACCGTCATATTTGGAAGGAAACTGACTCCTGACTGGATGTCGTGCTAACATCAAGGCTTGTTAAGTACATCAGATAATTCTTTTGAGTTTTTCTCCAAATATTAAAAGACAGAATTCTGTTTTGTTTCATTATGCAGAAGTAAATGCATCCTCACAATGGGCAGTTATTTTCAGTGATCACCAAGTCGGTTATATATCGATGTTCAACTAGAAAGGTCAAGATCCATTTTAATACCACATTCCCATCTATGCCTGAGTCTTCCTACTGGGTCTCTAATATCCTTAGGGTATGAAAACACAAGCAATATCACTTCTATGTATTCTCACTGAAAAAACTCACCAGTTCTTAGAGTATTATTATCTACTTTTGCCCCAATTTCTCTAGTAAATTCTGTGGCTTCCTTCTTTGGTACTGTAAAACTGCAACACAAAAATGTTCTCTTAATAATAAGACAGAAACAAAACAAATGTCATGTACAAATGTGTATGACTGGAATTATAATATGTTTACAAATTATATTACTTACTATCTTCCATCCTTAAAGGAGCGCACAAGGTATTCGTCACGGACCCGTATTCGCACTGTGTCTTGAGCTGTGGGGGCCACAACCAAACCTGGGAACCAGTTATCTTTCTGCTTCTTCTTGTCTCCCAGCTCCACACATACAACTTTCCCAATGTCAGCTTCCTTCTCCTCCTTCCTCTTCCCTTTCCTTGGGCTATCTTCATCATCACTACTGTCATCACTGTTAATTAAAATATAAATCCAAATATGAACTCAAAGACAGAGCAGAGAAGTTAAAACATGTAACAACTGGAAAGATGTATGCTAATAATAATGTACACATAAAAGGGCTGGACAAAATAATGGAAAAACTAGAGATACTGTACACATTTCTTTATTAATATGGTTCTGGAGCAACTTCTGCCCTCAACGTAGCGCCAACTCTTCTTGGAATGCACCTGTACAAGTTCTGAACAGTCTCTAGTGGAATTTTGCACTGTTCTTGAAGAGCATCTTCAAGTTGCTTTAGAGATGTTGGAGATGGGAATCTGTTACTCACTCTAGTCTCCAAAACTGACCAGAGTGGTTCAGTGATGTTCGAATCTTGTGATTGTGCTGGTCAGGGAAGACGTTGACACTCACCTTTTTGCTCTTGAAACCATGACTAAAAAGAGTTCCAGCTGTGTGAATGTTCATCCTCAATGATGTTGTCTTCCCATGAATTGTGTATGCAGACGTAACCTTATAAAATGTCGCTCTTGAGATACCTGATAATGTGGCTATTTTTGTCACAAATGCTCCAGCTAAATGCATACCAACAATCAGTCCTCTTTCAAAATCAGACAAGTCTCCCATTTTCCGGTTGTCACATGGAATGTTATTCAAGACAATCACTAATGCACTGACATGAGTACTATGAGCGTAAACAAACAGAAGAATGTTCAGTGTTGCTAACTGAAGTTCCAGATCTTGAGGCCTGGTGTACCTTCTTCTGTTTATGAAATCACAAGGAGCAAGTGGGGGAGGGGGTTGTGGAAGGGACAAATTTCACAGGTCTGTTGAGTTTGGCCTTACTACTGAGGCTGCCTCATTTTTTAAGACCCACAATGGTATACTTTGATTGTAATACAATAATGGTATTGATTACTGCTGCAGCACTATCAAGAAAAGTATATTTCTGATATTCAGATTTAACTGTAAACTAATTAACACAATACATCAATCTTTATAACATGGACAACCCAAATGCTACAAGAAACTCACTATTACACCAATGTGTTTTAACAGAAGACTACTAGTCTTCCAATTGTAGATATGAGATATAGGGAATGAACATTTTATATACATTAAATGCTGTTTTGTCACTTACTGTATCTGACGGCTTCGCCTTCCTTTCCGGCCTCCTATGACTGGATTTCCAAAGTGCTCTGGGTGTGTTAATGGTAGCTGATCCAACGTTTCACTTTCAGCAAAATGACGACCACTTTTCAAACAGAGGGCAGTTCTTCTAAGCGTAGTGATGTCACCGTCATCAAAAACTGAGAAAATAATTTAGGTCTTGGAGGGTGAAATATCAGTCTTAAGAACTACAGACAACTTTTTGGAAAATAAATTCTCAAAATAATATTAGTATCTGTTAAGTTCAATCATAAGAAGTGAACCAAAAATCACAAGAAGCATGGCCTCCTAATGTACAATTTAAGAGCTTTACTCATATTTCACATCTATTAATGCTGCTTCAAGATAACTTTTGTTAAGTTGTAAAACAAGGTTATGTTCGATTTGAGGCTTTCACGGCGGTGACTATGAAGAAAGCAGTCTTATGGGATTTGGCACCGTGTATATGTGGTGTTAACCAACGTTTCGGAGGAACGTATCTGCAAGCGAAGAGACCGTGAGAACCGGTAAAAGCAAACTCAGTCTGCTTTTACCGGTTCTCACGGTCTCTTCGCTTGCAGATTTCTTATATTTTTTCTTCTACCCTGAAGATGGAGGCGATACGTTCCTCCGAAACGTCGGTTAACACCACATATACACGGTGCCAAATCCCAGAAGACTGCTTTCTTCAAGGTTATGTTCATTTGTTTTCAGAGCAATTCCAGAAGTTATTATATTAAACTGTGCTTACTCTCACTGAAAAACTAAATCTTTCTAGCTTATAATGGAACAAAGACAACAATGCCTGGGACAGCTTAGTCAGAACAAAGAATTGCTACAGGCCTGATGACTGTGGCTTGGCTCTCAACAGCAGCAGGACTTTTCTCTTCACCTCTCTATCTGCCCATTCTCTATCCAGTGGGTAACAGAGGCTCTTTTTCTTGGACTAAAGCAGCAGGAGCATGGAACTGATCACTCACCTCTATCAACCACCATTATTAAAAATGTGTGGAGTTTTTTCTCCAATTCTCCTACACACCATAACATCATATACTGTATGAGTGCTGTTTCCATTATAATTTCTTGGTACAATAACAGAACAGGTGAAGTCTGCATGTTAACGCAGTTTCATTGCTCGTGCAATTCTTCGTCCAGGCCATATAACATATTGGAATAACTACAAAACAGGACAAGAACTACAATGTAATATAAAAAATAAACTAACCAACAGTGTACTGGCTACAATCCTGTATTTTGTTTATGGTAGCTTCAACAAATTCTTTCTTGTCAGGATGTTTCGCTTCACATACAGATCCAACCTGCAATGTAAGTTTGAAGTGTAATCAAGTCATGGAAAGGCAATGCCAGGTTTATACAATAGCACTGTCACAATGAGCTGAGACCTATAAAGTTTAATCACAACAGGATCCTAGGAATACTGCTACTTCCAAGTTCACTTTATAACTGTCTCAATAATAACGCCTGGACTACAGACTCATTAAGTCTCCACTAAACTTTTATGGCAGAAGCATAAACATATTCAAAGGCTTTTAATGGTAAATTATTTAATTTACTTGAGGGTGTACATACACAACATACTTGACAATAGTAGTACTGTATACAGAGCGTAAATTAAGTTGCAGACAAACTTTGAGCATGAGTATTACATATCAAAATAAGAAAAAATGACTAAATTAACATGTGACAGGGCAGATTTAATTGTTAATTATGGTCAAAAGAGTACATTTATAAGTGCCCCAAATGTCTTCTATGAGATTCAATGCACCCCTCAACATGTCTCATCATGGACCACCATATTCGTCGTTCAAGTTATGGATGGTGCAACAAACATTCACAATGCTATGGTGCAGTACCTCTTCATTGACAACAGGATATAGATTTGTTGGTTATTCCCATAGGTAAAAATCCGAAAGGATCCAAATCCTGGGAGCCTGGAGGCCATGCAGAGGGTCCTCTTCTATCCATCGATCATGATAGGTGTTATTGAGAACGTCTTGCACAGCATGGCTAAAATGTTCCGAAGCATCATCAGGCTTTCTTTCAGCTCTAACTCACAAATCAAATGTTTCCAGTCACACGTTGATATGGGTCTTTTTCTTGTTTCCATACATGGAACCCTGCCCAAAGTATGCGGACACCTTCCAGTTATGCCTCATACAAGAGCTACATGACATAACTATTATATCAAGATTACTGAAAGAACTGGTTCTTTGCACAGGTCCTATAAACTGTAATGAATTAATGAACTTGCTTCTTTATTCACATACATATGCATGTGTACAGACACCAAAGTCAACTATGGTCTCCTAATGGTACTGCAGTTAAGAAAACATGGAAAAGAAAATCATTACAGAGTTCAGACTGCATTTGAATCAGATCTCTCTCATTCTTCAATGCAATGCTCTATCATATCATGACTCTGAAGTACATATGAAAGAATTTATATATGTATATAAGTATAATTTAGCATGTGTAATAATACTTAACACTAAGACCTTAATACTAATTGTTTATTCATTCTGTATACAATTTTGACTTTTGGCCATTGAACAGTTTGATGCAAATTTAATTTGTTTACTGTAAGTGAAGAGTTCACAGTGATCTCATTATTTCATTAATTCCATGTGATGAGTGAACCAGTTAAGCATACACTGCATACTTCCTTAATCCTACTGAGATTCAATACTGACAATAACCAATTAATTTGTGTATCTAGTAAAATGTTGTGTGATTTGCAGTTCTCATGATAGTGACCATGCTGAATACTGTTTTCTGGGATGATGCCTTGTGCTCTGGTACATTTGGAGGTACATACTTTCCATCTTCAAGGTCATACAGCATGCCTTATCCTCAGGACCAAAGAGCAAGCTCACCCAGCAAACATGCAAGCAGCAAGACACCTTGCTGGCTCACTTGCTCTTTGACCCTGAAATTGGTGGCAGTACCTTCCTTCAAAATATCAGTAAACATATACCACGCTCTACAGTGACACATCTCATAAGATACAGTATTCATACTGGAACTAAATTTGACAGATGCAAAAACCAGTTAGAGCACTTTACTTTCTGCAATGGAAGCATATGGATTTACTAAACGCTACTTAGAAAATAAACAGCCTTTCTGATCTGATGGGGCTGGAACAGTGCAGTGAGGCTGAATATCTTAAAGGAACACCTAAATTATTCTCTCTGTTTCTGAGATCAATTATCTGGCATTATTTTTAAGTTACAGAATCCAAAATCCATGGGATAATGCAATAAATTCATGTTGCATGCCAACCATTTCAAGACATTTACTGCCAAAATATATGGTTTTTACAATACCTCTAACATAAAGACAACAGAATTAAACAGCAGTACTCAATATTTAGAAACACAAATGGTTAGAATTGGTGGAGTTTTGGCACTCACCGGACAGCACGTAGTGCTACAGCAACAAAAGCTGTGCGGAATGCATATCAAACATTTTACACTTGTTAATAAAAAGGATCTAACACCAATGGAAGCAGATCAATTAAACAGAAGATGTATAAGAGCTCTTCATGTAATGAAAGGCAATAGAGGAAAATATAATAATCTTGCCCCCACAATTAATCAGAAAGTAACAAAACAATTTCATTCATTTCAAGCAAGAAATGTGGGATTCCTGAGAGCTCGGCCCATTCATAGTGTGACAGGTAACATTACACCAAACATCACAGATGAACTGTTGGTATTCAGGCTTCATATTCAGGGTTCAAATCTCAGTCTAGAGATCAGCTAACCAGACTCTTGCTTATGGTTTTCCTCAGTCCCTCCAGGCAAATGCTGAGATATCACCTCAAATTAACCTATGACTACTTCCACTCATATCATCTCCTCTGAAAGGGCCCTCAACTTCATAAGCAACATGACTATTGGCAGATGAAAAATTCAGTGCTGTGAATACTTTTCATCTCATGACTGTGGAGTTTTCAAGATAATCTCTGACATAAGCGATGCAACACCCTTCATCAAGTGGTGATTATGGAAGGACATCACAAAGTGAAGAAACCAGAATAACCACAATGCCAGAGAGCCATCTGGAATCACTTTTAGACTTGCACTTCATCTACTTGAGCAGTTAGAATCGTTTAAACCACGCTATTCTGGGGTCCAAAAGTTAAACTGATCTTTCCTTCTACTTTGAGGTCTTACCACTCTTTTCCTTCCAGGACTACAAGTATAGGAGACCTTTCTTTTTGCGTTCATTATACATGTCTCAAATTCAAGCCTTCATTTTCACATCATCAATATGCATTTATTATGTGTGGAGGTTCCATCAGCACAATATATTACACACTCAATCACTCAAAACCATTTCGCTTCACTTGTTTCAGTCTAACTGCCCATAATCAGACTATTTCTAAATTTACTGCCTACTTCACCACTGTTAGTGCACACTGACCTATACTGGCGAAGGGAGATACCGCAACATCCGCCATACTCATCCGATATGAGTCCGTGCGATTATGATCTCTTTGCCAAAATGAAAGAACCACTGCGAGAGACACGTTACAACACAAGAGAGGAGATTATTCGTGCTGTAGGGCGGTCACTGCTGGACTTCAGCAGAAGTATACGACGCCTTCCACAATTTTGGCAGAAGGTGGTACACTTGGGGGCTGATCATACTGAAGGAATGTAAGTGTGTTTACCTCAGGTAATAAAGTCATTTCAGAACTATAGAGGCGTTGCCACTACTTTTTATCCAACCTATGTATATGACAGTACTGTATATCATAACATGCATATATTACTTCACCTGTGCATACGGTCTGTGTGGGTTGCTGCAGCCGCTGCTTCTAGGCGTCTATGCACAGCCAGCTTGGCCAAAATGTGTTTGTACACACAGATATATATAAAAGTAAAGCTATCCCTGTAACAGCCCTGGAGGCCCATAGGGTTGTGAGATGTAGAAGCTCCCACAGTTTCTAGGCAATCCACAGATGGCAGTGGGGTTGTCGGCCTTATGCGCCTGCCGCCATTTACCTCTTGGAAGATTCCGGTACTCATTTCTGTTAGGGGCTGAATTAACTCCAGGGCCATAGTGCGGCTGGAAGGATGAGGTTCATTGGAAAAATCGAGTAACCTCATCAGGAATCGAACCTGTGACCTTCCGGCTTGTAGCATAGTGCCTCAATCAACCATGCTACCATGCGCCCCCCGTCAAAATATGCAGGAAAATAAATTAAATATATAAAACTGATTTATTCTACACTGCATTGTGTTGACAGAACCTCCATGCCTATTAAGATACACAATATGGTGCTCAAATACAATATAAAACATACATACACATAATTTGTAACAAACTTATTTCTACACTTTGTAGTGTTTCTTGAAGCCAGTCATTATTCTGAAGATGGAGGCAGAAGATTACTCCGAAACGTCTGTACCTTTCTATCAGACTACATGGTGTCATACCTCAAAAGGCAAAGTCTTAAAAGCAAGCCAGATTCACAGCTAATTAACATTAGGTCAAAGGCCAAGAAGCTTCCGCATAACAGCAACAGCTCCAGGCAGCTAAGGATACTAAAATACAAGGCACCTGCAACAGTGGTTTGCTCTTTACATACTACTAAACGTTTTACTTTAGCACTGTTCATCCAACACATATTTTACGCATTCTTTGACTATTTAACGCTGCTTTCTCAACTGCATAGGTTACATAACGTCAAATGGCATTGCGACCACGAGTCTTACATTGGACAGGATGTGGCGAACGGCAGCAGTGGACCATTCTACAGTACTATACCAGCATCTGACTAGAGACTATCGAAAATCACGGACATCCTCAGTTAAGATATTTCCCTGGCCGAGATTCGAGCCAGAGGCCTCCTGGATACAAAGCGGGTATGCCAACCACAACAGGGAATTAAAGTCGACCGAAGCGTGATACTAATCACTCATTCCCAATCGTGAAGAGCATTAAATTTCTAGCACCCTGTACGCTACCACGACGTGGTACAGGAATATGTTACTACATTTTCTTTAATGTTCTAATTCCCATACATTCAGTCCCTTGAGAGTGCATCGGTGCTAAGCACTAAACCGATGCTTTAATAATTAATGTTAGCTATGTTTACCACCTGCTTTAACACATTCCTAAATATTAACAGACTGGTGTTTTCAAACAGAACTGCAGTTGTTTTCGTGGAGACAGACACCGATGTTTAATTATTTTGATAAGCCTCCCTTCAAAGAGCTGTCTTTCATTTCTTTTTCTTTAGGCAGTCTGACATGCGAGCAAAAACAACCGTGTTCAAGGTCTGTGCATCTGAATAGCCAACTCCATCCTTCAAGACAAGACGATTTCCAACTTACCCTAAGCGTGCCTCTAATCTGGTCGTCCGTAATGATTGCAGAGCCAAGGCCAGGCTTGAAGGTTACCTGGAGGAGAGAGAGAGAAACAAATATACCAAAAGCACACAGTGGCTGTGGTAACAGCTTGCTCAGTTTTCACAAAGTGGCATGGAGAATATGAAAAGTAACAGGAAGACTGAGAAAAAAACATGCTCTTCTGAGTTCTAATGCAGTTCGGCAAAAGACCAACGTTTCGGAAGAACATCTAGCCGCCATCTTCAATGTCGAAGAGCAATCCAAGCAAGAAACCTTCATATGAAGGGGGGAGCCATATGTTCTTCCGAAACGTCGGGCTGTCTCCAACCTACATGATGTTAAAATCCATACGACTCTATTCTTTACAGCTACAGAGATGAGAACTTTAAATCCTACAAGACGGAGAGAAATGCACAATAAGGAATTTTACAAATTTGTAATCTTAAACATAATACTATTAGGGTAATTAATCTGCGCAGGGTCAGATGGGTTGGACATGTACACGGGAGATGAAGAATGCAAAAAAAAAAAAATCGATCGGAAGCTTTACGGAAATAGGCCACGGGGGTGACCTAGAGCTAGATGGCATGACATCAAAATGGATCTCATAAATGCAGTAAGAAACGGTGAAGGAGGACTTCACTCAACTGGCTCAGGATTGGGAGCAGACGCCGGGTCTTATGAACATGGCAATGCACGTGACAGTGCTCACCTTCTTAACTGTGTTCGTGGAGCTTCCCCATTTATTTGCACTTTCAACATCTATACGCTAGCGCCGCAGACTGATGGCTGATGATTTGGCCCGAAGCAGTCGTACCCTAATCAAGGTACTATTTCAGCATTTGCCTGCAATGTCTGAGGAAAGTCGCGGAAAACCTAAGCCAGGATAGACGATGTCCTGGCCGTAACTACAAACGAGCACTTCCTGAATACACGTCGGTCGGTAACAGCTTTAACAATTCACCATTTTTTTAAACAACATTTTCTATTTCTCAAGATATTACAAATTTTATATATTTGGAATTATATTTCGATCGGTTAGCATGTAACTTTGCCGATCACAGTGGCCGCGCGGTCTAAGGCATGAACAATCTTCGCTCGCTCGAACACTGGGATCGTGGGTTCGAATCCCACTCAAGGAATGGATGTCTGCGATTATTGTGTGTGTAGGTAGCGGCCCTGCGACGGGCTGATCGACCATCGAAGGATAGGATTAAGAACTGAAAAAGCGGCCAACGTCCAACTAAGGACTGAGAGCCATAGACAGATAAATAGAATGTAAGTTTGACAGATTACCCCGAGCCCCGTCTAACCAATTAGTCTCCACCACGTCCAAAAGGGGGGTCCCCAACTGTTCTCCAAAAGGTTTAAGTTCCATAAAGACAGCGAATATCCTGACAAGCTGAACAAACATCATCCTTTCAATAAATGTTGTGACCATCAAGTTAGTCGCTTTCGTCTCTCTGGTACTGTGATAGCAGACGGCTTAAGCGCTTGATGTGCGAAGATCTTCGTTTCAGAACGGCCCAAAACCGTTCACTCAGAGAGGGGGGCTACATCATCAAATCTCTCCTCAAATACTGGGGACGTCATTGGGCCTGTTTGTTTTTAATTCATGGAAACTGTTTGCTTTTAACACACTTAAACATATTTACAGAAAAACACAGTTGCGTTAACAGCACCGATTATTTCTGCATTTTCGTAATAAAACCGTCGTATCTCATTTCTGTACCGAACCTCCGAAACGGATTCTTAGATACGCCTCTGCATTTCCGGGTTACCGGATTCCAAAGTATCCCGGCGCTTTTACTAATAGATGAAAACAATACAATACGTGGCCAGCGAAGCTCCATAATTCAGCCATCTTAAATATCGGTAAATACCGCTGTGTCCGGACATGCACATTTTTAACATACGCAGTACAAATTACGGGACATCTCCATCATTTTCAGGCACATAACTCCAATTCAAAAGAGGAACACGATCTGTTGTCTTTAGTTTCTCTTCCGCACGTGTTGTTGCTAGGATTATATGAAAAGAAAATTGTAATCTATACACACACTCTTCTCCAAGTATAATTACAATGATCAAGTCAATGAGGATGAGGTGGACAGGGCATGTAGCACAAATGGGGGAAACGAGGAATGCGTATAGGATATTGGTACGAAAGCCAGAAGGAAAGAGACCACAGGGAAGACCAAGGCGTAGGTGGGTAGACAATATTAAAATGGATCTTAGAGAGATAGGATGGGATTTTATGGATTGGATTGATCTGGCTCAGGATAGGGACCAGTGGAGGGCTCTTGTCAACACGGTAATGAACCTTCGGGTTCCATAAAATGAGGAAATTTTTGAATAGCTGCAGAATTGGCGGCTCCTCCAGAAGGGCTCAGCTTCATTTATCAGTCAATCAACCAATACAAACAACTAACGAAATACTAATTAATTATGTGGTAAACATAAGAGGTGAAACTGTCCCCGTGGTTAATGAATTAAGCACCACGTCATGAACACGTATGGGGGGGTGGAAGTATGGGTCCACCACTTTTGACCTCGGCGCTATATGGTGAGTGGTCAGTTTTATGCCCCGGCCCCATTACCAAGCACCCATTGGACAGGAGGCTGGGTGCGCTTCAGAACCAGTTTGGACGCTGTAGAGAAAAATCTCTTGCACCGCGGTGGAGCCCGCAGCCCATTGCTACACCCAGCTATCCTGGATCCCTAATTAATTACAGAATTTCATTTTTCATTCATGAATGGATCTACGGCCCTTTGTTGGGCCCTGGCTTCTTCTTCAGTTTCGTAATCATCTTTACACAGACGGCCGGACTCCTTGGACGGAGGATCGGCCCGTCTCAAGGCCGTTATCTACACAGAGGACAACACAAACAGAATGAATCCACTCAGACACAAATTCTTTCAGTGGGATTCGACCCCACGATCCCAGCTTTCGAGCGAGCGAAGAAAATTTATGCCCTAGACAGCGCGGCCACTGTGACCGGCAATTAATTACCGAATACCGACATTTAGTTTTATATGAATTACAATTAATTATATACCGATACACTTGCCAACCGCAAATGATATGGTAGGGCTAGACAGGATATGTAAAATAACATACAACATATAATTCACCGGTAAGGGCACAGATATTTGAAAGGCTAGTACGCCTATCCATACCCAAACCGATTCTGTATACGACCACTTCTAAATCGATGGTCCACAAATTACAGTTAGTCAGCCAGCTTTAAAAACTACAATTTTACAACTGCAGACCAAAAGTTTTCGCTTTTCATTTCTCTTCAAAGATAGCTCAGTCGATATACCGACATCTTTACTGTTTGCATTCTGTTGTGTGTCATGATTTGTGATATTTGTCCATATTTTGGACCATCCTCGGGCAGTTTCATTAAAAACGCCTCACGTTATTGAAATATCCTAATATGGATCTTCACCAGTCGTAAATACAATTAGTTATTACACTTTCAGGATTGCTGTATCTATGACACACAAACAATTGTAACGTTACTGCATCTATAACACATAAAATCAAGTCTCCAAAACAACGAATTCTGTGAAGCGAAGTCCAATCCTGCAATATCAGCCACGTCTTTGCCACTGCCTTGAACAACGTCTTCAACGTCAAAGTTATTTTATGACCGACGGTCAGTCGGCCAGTCTGTCTTGGAATAATATGCCCATCTGAGGCTTAAGACCACATCTTTATTACTGTCAGACTGCTGCAGGTTTGTTGATGTTGGGCGCTCTCTCTGACGAGAGGACGGGCCTGTCGTTTGCCAGGAACACAGTCAGCAACAATAAGTCGGCTGTCAGTATGTACAAGTTACATTTTACATGTTATTAAATGTATGTATAAACAACATATACAAAGTCTCTGTCAGTCCAGGCTCAGTATAGCAGATCATGCCCTATCATTAGCAGCTCCTGATACTACAGAGGTCTGGTCACTTGAACGGTCGTATGCCTGACCGCCACCAAGTTTAAGCCTCTTATATTTCCTGTGTAGGGGTTCGCCTTGTCCAATGTTGCGAATGTTTGATTTTCATGATTTTGTATGACTTCTGCTTGTCGCCTGCATAATTTTGTTATATAATCATTCATGCACGGAAGTTTGAAAGCTGCGTACTTCTCACAGTGCGGACGCTTGTTTTTCTGTTGTTCCTGTTCCTGGTTTCATTGTGGATTAAAAAAATATGCCCACAGACTACAGTCTGGACGGCAGGGGTTCGATCCCCGACAGGGCACAAAGATTCTTCTCTACTTTAGAGCGTCCTGACAGACTCTGGGACCCACCCAGACTCCGACCCAACGGGTACCATGGGATAAAGTGGCAATGGCGTGAAGCTGACCACTCACCTCCATACAGTACCGAAGTCAAGAATGGTGAATACCTCCACTTCCCGATGTCTTCATGATGCTGTGCTTAATTAAACACGGGGACAACTTCATGACCTTTACCTTTAGAGCCTACTGCTAGTGTGTGCTGAACAACATTACGTAAACCCTACGTGCAGGGTCTCGGTAGTTAAGACACACACACTTCTGCTTTCGATGATAAAACAGTGAAAATTTTCCGATAACTTGCATTATTTCATAGTCTCGTACGTCCTTTTCATCATGAATGTTAACGTGAGAGATCATGACTTCAATCCGACTTTATGATCATATAAAGGCATCCATTTTATATTGCGAATAAACAAGTTTTGACGTACTCGCAACATGCGTACGCACAGCCCAACATCAGTACATGAAACAGATGACAAGAACCACTCCTACACATCACAGACTGCATTCATTACATGTCCGTATCTCGACTATACAGCGCCGAATGACGACTGACTGATCGATGATGAATACGAAAGGTTGTGGAAGGAAACGGTCGTGACCTAACAGCCATATTATCACGGCATTAGCCTAGATGGAATAAGGAAAATCCTTAATTAGGGCAGTCTCCCGGTCGGGATTCGATATATCCCGTATTCATATCCCGGCTGGACATGGTCTATTCTGATAACCATATCTGCACGTGT